ATTAGCACTGAAATACTGGAAGGTAGGAAACACAAAAAGAAACAAAAGTACCCACTCCCGAACCAGATAATCATCCAATAAAAATTTTTTGAATATTGTGAGGAATGTGAAAAGTTTTTTGACACGGCAAGTTTCTTGACTGAAACTGCTTCCTTAGTAGAACAGAAAATTTTGTGTGCAGGCTTGTTTTCCTTGTACTTCAAATCAAAAATTATTTTTATGTTTTCTTTTTTTAGGCAAATTTCAGGTGATGATACAGAAGCTATAGAACATACTGAAATGCAAAGCTTCCACAGTRTAAAGAGATAAATTATTCATGTATAAAGTATTTCAAATAATATGATTTAAATACATTGTTGGATGTTTGTATAGGAGGGTCTGTTTCATCTGTTTAACATAGACTAAGACAAGGGGTCATTCTGTTAGGATATAAACTTCTTATTGAAACTATTCAAAATGAAAACCTAATTTCAAATAACTGGACACCATATAGGACTCTTTAAACATTTTTGTTTAGAGATATGTATTTAACCACAGATGGAGAAGCAAAAGCAAGGGTTTGTTAAATTAGCATGAAGAAAAGTGTGCACCAGTCAGAATATTTGTGTAAGAATGACAAAACTTTGATAATGTATGGRTTTGTTTTTTATTATTTCTATACAGCAAACAGTATAGTAAATTAAGCTTAATTTTTATTTTATTGCTTATAACTTATTTTTATTGAAAATTTTTATGCATGATTTCATGTATACATTGTGTGTGTGTATATATTTATTTAAATACATATGACTATCTAAATGGCTTGAAAGCTTAATTTCACTAGATTTTAGTCCTTCATAGCTCCATTAATGTAGTCAAAGTGAAATATAGATTAGTTTAAATGAATTTGATGACTCCAAAGCCAAGGAATATTAGGCATGTTGTGGGAAATTTTATACTTATTCTTGGTAAAGTCTGCCTTTCAACTTTTTTCACCATGCTCCCAATTCCTGTTGAAAGTTTTAACATCTTTATCCCCTTATTTACTTTGCTGAAAGGGCAGAGGAGTAAATAATTAATTATACCAACATTCATTGATAACATCTTCTCTGTGAGTTGGGGTCATTTCTTATCTAGCATCTCTTAGCACCTCTTCCGATTACTTCATCTTTCTTAGATTATCTGGCTTAAGCAGATACCTCTTAAGCTTTTGTTAGAACTCTAAATGTTGGGGTATCTGCACTTTGATTTTTAAAACTGTACTTTGTTTCCCATTTCATTATTATTACTCTTGTGCATGTATCTGATAGGGAACTCTGCCTGAAAGTCAGTGACTTGCCAAATAAAATGTTTCACTGTGTGAAACTGGCAAGTTAAAGAAGTATGACTCCTTATAATAAAACGGTTGAAAAACTTATATTAAAAGAATGAAATAGAAGAGAAAATTCAGTTAAGTTAGAGGTATACCATTTTTCTTTCAGAGAAAGGTACAGTATTATAAAGAAAAAAGAAAAAGRATCCCCCTCCCCCGTTTCCTTTCTGCTTCTCAGTGAAGGTATGGGTTGAATGAAGGCATTTGGGGTTTATGTGCAACAGCCTTTTGCTGACCATGAAATGACAAGAATGAAGATGAAAGCCATCACACTGAGGAGGATGCAGATAGAACGTACCTGAATTGTTTTTCTTAATTCTGGAACTATTTTACCTATTAATTTTTTAATTAGGTGAGATACCAGATTCCTTATGACATTCAATCCACTTTTCGTTGTGTATTTGATTACTTATAGCCCAAAAGAAACCTCTCAGTAGAAACAAGGAAGAGTTAGATTATTCAATAAATAGTATAKGACAAATAAGCTTTTTTGCTGGGGGGGTGGGGGGGTAAGATTGATGTGTTGTTAAGACAGTAAAATCCTACAGTGCTAAAGAAAATATGCATTTACTCTTATGATCTTGTAGTGAAGGCCTTTCCAAAACACAAATGTAGAAAATCATAAAGGAAAATGGCAAACTAAAACTAACATCTCTTCGACAAACATTGGGAAAATTGAATGTCCACATGCAAAAGAATGAAATTGGGTCATTGCCTTAACATTATACATAAATATCAGTTTAAAGTGKATGGAGAACATATACATAAAATCTGAAAATTTCTGGAAGAAAACAGGGGGAAAGCTATATAACATTTATTTTGGCAGTAATTTATTGCATGTCACACACTCAGCAAGATAAAAGCAGGATGACAAATGGGATTTTATCAAACTAAAAAGCTGCACAGAAAAGAAAGCAACAGAGTGAAAAGCAACTTAGGAAAAAATGTATTTGGAAATCATAAATCTAATAAGGGATAATACACAGAATACATTAGAAATTTTTTTTTAAAAGAGTGAGAGAGAGAATTTTAATATTTATTTTTTAGTATTTGGCGGACACAACATCTTTGTATGTGGTGCTGAGGATCGAACCTGGGCCCCACGCATGCCAGTCAAGTGYGCTACCGCTTGAGCCACATCCCCAGCCCATTAGAAATTCTTGTACCTCAGTAATAGAAAACAGCTGGGTTGAGAAATAGGCAAAGAACTGAAAAAACATTTGTTCAAAGAAGACATACAAATGACCAACAGGTATATGCATAAAATGTTCAACATAATTAGTTTGGGAAATGCAAATCAAAACCATAATGAGGGGCTGGGGATGTGGCTCAAGCGGTAGCGCGCTCGCCTGGCATGTGTGGGGCCCGGGTTCGATCCTCAGCACCACATACAAACAAAGATGTTGTGTCCGCCAATAACTAATAAATAAATAAATATTTTAAAAAAACCATAATGAGATACCACTTCAAGCTCTTAGAATGGTGCGCACACACACACACAAACACACACACACACGGTGAGTTGCAGTGGGGTGCACCTGTAATTCCAGATACTTGAGAGGCTGTGGCAGAAGAATCTTTTGTTTGAGCCCAGCCTGAGTCGTTTCTTTAAAAAAAAAAAAAAGTGTAGAGGAATTAGAACCCCTATGCACTGTTAGTGACTGTAAATTGGTACAGCAGCTATGGAAAACAGCATAAAGGCTCCTAATTTTTTTTTTTTAAAGCATAACTACCATGTAACCCAGAAATCCACTTGTATGCATGGTCTGTTTCAGTTTCTCTCTACCTACTGACAAAAAGGTATTCGATGTTGATCCAAACACCAAAACTATTTCCCCACCTTGAGCCAACACCCATTTAACAATTCCTTTTTGCAGACATGCTAGGTAGAACATTTTACTGTCCCCTTTAGTAATACAAAGCAGCCTCTTCTGTACAAAGTTTCCTTAGTAAATGCATTGGACTGACTGATCACTCTGTTAAGAATTGAAATCACTCCCATGACACTGCAACATATTTTTTGTTTTGGGTATTGGGGATTGAACCCGGGGTGTTTTGAGTCACATCCCCAGCCCTTTTTTTTAATAAAACATTTTATTTAGAGACAGAGTCTTGCTGAGTTGCTCAGAGCCTCACTAAATTGCTGAGGCTGGTTTTGAACTCACCATCCTCCTGTATCAGCCTACCCAGCTGCTGGGATTATGGGCATGTGCCACCATGCCCACCTGCAATTACTGTTAATAGCCAAAAGGTGAAAACAATCTAAGCATCTAGGGATGCAAGGATAAAAAAATATGGCATATACATACAGTGGAATATGAGCCTTAAAAAGGAAGAAAATCTTGTCATGCTTCAACATGGATGATCCTTGAATACATCATGTTAAATGAAATAAGCCAGTCACAGAAGGACAAATACTACATGATTTTGCTTATATATCTTAAGTATTCAATTCATAGAAACAAGTGTAATGATGGTTGCCAGGACTGGGGTCAGGAATAAACGGGAGTTGTTAGAGTATAGAGTTTTTGTCATGCAGGTTAAAGAAATTCCGAGATTGGCTGTACAATGTGCATATAGTTAATACTGTGTTGTACACCTAAATGTGTTTGGACAGTGGATTTCTTAGCTTTTTTACCACATAGAAAAAATATGAAGTTTGCATAGCAAAAAGCAACATGAGAATGTTAAAAGGAAAATATTTATAGTGTGTACCATAGATATAAGTGAATATTCACATTTAAAGAGCATTTATAAATTTAAAACACATCCTTTAACTCAGCAATTCCATTTCTACATTTTTTAAAAAATTGAGCCCAACTTTGGGGGAATTCTGGTCAAAGGAAAAGAAGGTTGAAAAGGAAAAAAAAACTATATATGAAAATACTAATACTGAAAACAAATTTTATATCAGGTAATGAGAACATTTAAGTACTTATGGTGAATAAGTACTTGGACTATTAGGCTGCCATTTAAAAATGAGCTTTATAGCTGGGTGCTGCGGCTCATACCTGTCATCCCACATACTCAGGAGGCTGAGGCTGAGGCAAAGGATCACAAATCCTGAACAATTAATTTAGCAAGACCTCGTCTCAAAATAATAGTTAAAAAAATAGTTAAAAAAAAAAAAAGGCTGAGGATGTAGCTCAGTAATAAGAGTGCTTGCCTGGCATGTGCCAGGCCCTGGGTTCAACCCTCAGTACTCTTCCTGCCTGTGCCCTCCTCCCCCAAATAACTGACGACTAACAAAACAGACAAAATTTCATCTACTTTTATTAAAACTAGAGGCACAGCTGTTGGTTGCCTGATCAGTGTTGTTTATTCCCAATGTTTATTACCTTTTCCACTTCCTTTTAGACTGAAAAGGCTTCCAACCTCATTTCCTCATCTTTAGATGATCATGTTAGACATTTGTGACCAATAGGGGAACACAGATCTGACGGGAATTCTGGAAAAGGTTTTTCTTTTGGTACTGGGGATTGAGCCCAAAGGTGCTTTATCACTGACCTAACATTCCCAGCCCTTTTAAATTTTTTTTGTTAAGACAGATTCTTCCTAAATTTGCAAAGGCTGACTGGCCTCAAACTTGGGCTCCTCCTGCCTCAGTGTCCTGAGTTGCTAGGCCCAGGCCTTTTTGTTTTGAGAAAGGGAGGGTCTCACTAAGTTGCTGAGGCTGTGATCTTCCTGCGTCAGGAATCATGACAAACTGCTGCAACTATAGGTGTGCACCACTAGCCTTTTCTGTCTTGAATAGAGACACATTGCCTTCAACTGTAGCAGCAATCTTGTTGCCATGAAGGGAAGGCTAAAGAAATCTGAGACTTTGGTATTGTTGAGTCACTGAACCAAGGCCAGTGGCCCGTTCCTCTATTTTCTTGTTCTGTGAGGAAAATAAATCCTATTTGTATAATCATTGCCACTTAAACCTTCTGTTCCTCAAGTAGAAAGCATTCCTATTTGATGCAGAAACAGATAAATTCATACAAACAAAAGACTTGTCAGAAAAATTAAAACACTCTACCTCTTAGTAGGGTATTTTTGAAAATGATTTGTTAGAAAAAGTTGTTTATGCAATAAAGCACTTAATAAACTTATTGAGCTTAAAGAGAAAACATTTGATTAATTCTGTTGTTGACTCACATTTRCCATTTAATCTAGATTATTTTCTAATTCTAAGGACATTATCTTGTTTTGTTCAAAAGTAAAACAAAGATTTGGTAACCAAAACACATTTTCAACAAAATTTATATGAAGACATGTAATGAACAATGAAATAGCACCGGGGACCTTTATAAAATTTCATCACACAGTTTCTATTCAGGCATCTTCACCAATAACTGGCACTCAATTTATTTTAAATCATGTGACTGTAGAAAACTATTCAAATTGTTCATCAAACACCAAGTGGGATTTTCCAAAGATATTTCAGAAAATCAATTCAGTCTATATTCTGTTTATCAACTTGAGTTGCACAGGTTAAAATGAAGACCTTTCACACAGTGTTGAAGAAGTGATAAYAGCCTGTACTTGAATTGGCATTGCACTTCATCAGACTTAGGCTGCCTTCAGTAGAAATAGCTTCTATCCCTCAGAAATCAGCTACATCAAGATGGCTCATCAGCTAAATCACGTTGGTCAAAATACCTGAAAAATAATGTAATGTATGCACAAGTGTATTAATTATAGCACTACCTGTAGTAGTAAAAGACTATGAACAATCCAAATATTAATTGATAAAGGGGAATGATAAACTACAATACATATACATGACTGAAAACTGCACAAAAGGAACTAGAAAAATAGCTACACTGCTACAGAGTGATTTCTAGGATTAAGTGAAAAAAACATGGTACAAAATAGATTGTTCAGTATACAATAGTCTTGTAGGCACATAAGTTTACTTATACATATTTATTTATACTTTTAGAGAAAATGAAAGGATAAACGAAAAGTTAATAAAATGATTATTTATAGGAGAAAGGAGAACCGGGATAAAAGTAGATGCTAAAGTACTCCAAATGTATCTTGAATTCTGGAATGTTGTAAATATTTTATGTGATTAAAAACAGGTGCAGGGCTGGGGATGTGACTCAAGCGGTAGCACGATCGCCTGGCATGCGTGCAGCCTGGGTTCGATCCTCAGCACCACATACAAACAAAGATGTTGTGTCCGCCGATAACTAAAAAGTAAATATTAAAATTCTCTCTCTCTCTCTCTCTCTTTAAAAAAAAAAAATTAAAAAAACAAAAAATAGGTGCAGCTGGGCCAGTGGTGCATCCTTGTAATCCCAGTGGCTCTTGAAGCTGAGACAGGAGGATTGGGAATTCAAAGCCAACCTCAGCAATGGTGAGGAGCTAAGCAACTCAGTGAAGCAGGAGTATTGCAACTTAGTATCAGCATCTTAGTGAGACCCTGTCTCAGAGTTATAAAAGGGAATGAGACTTCTTATCTGAAATTGTGAAGAAGAAAATTCATGGTAGTTTTGGTGTGGTACCTCAAACTGGAAACGTTAAAGCAACAGTACATAGTAAGGGTTTAGTTAAGATGGAAAAGGTCTTAAATTACAGGGTTTGGTACTATGTATGATTTTAGGAATTCACTGTGGGTCTTAGAATAGGATGGACTACTAAATAACATTAAAGGAAAAATCAAATACTCCTAAATTAGGACTGAAATATCAATTTGAACTCATGATTTTATTTTTCTAAGAAAGTGCATTATTTCCTAGCTCTGTTGACTGAAAAGGCCTAAAAACAATAACCAACTTAATAACCAGTCTGTAACTTCCAAATTGTGGTTTCTAAATACCAATTTTTTTTGTTATTAGAAATCATGGGGCTGGGGATGTGGCTCAAGCGGTAGCGCACTCGACTGGCATGCGTGCGGCCTGGGTTCGGTCCTCAGCACCACATAAAAACAAAGATGTTGTGTCCGCCAAAAACTAAAAAATAAATATTAAAATTCTCTCTCTCTCTCTAAAAAAAAAAAAATTAAAAAAAAAAAAAGAAATCATACTCCAGGATAACCAAATTGTGAAGTCTTTTTTTTAACAGAAAAAAAGTTCTAACGAATACATGAATAGGGATTTTTTTTTTTTTTTTGTACTGGGAATTGAATACAGGGGTGCTCTACTACTGGCCAAYATCTCCAGCCCTTTTAATTTTATATTTTGAGACAGGATCTTTCTAACTTTCCCAGGCTGGTCTCAAACTTGCTATATCCCCCAAACCCCACAGTCCAGTCTCCCAGGGATTACAGGCATACAACACCATGCCTAGAAGAAACTAGATGTTGAATATGTATTCTGAAAAAGTTACCTGTTTGAGAGAGGGAGTAATGAATGTGACATTATTTATCCCAAAACTTAAATGTATTATGCAGTTTTATAAAAGTACTGGTATTAGAATAAAAACAATGATCAATGGAATAAAAACATATATATAGGAAAAGACCTAAAGTAAATATGTATTTATTGAGAATTAGAATGAGAAAAAAGTTTCCCAATAAATTTCAGGTGGAACTTAGAAATATATAGCAAATAAAAAAATGCCTCAATCTAAAAGTGAATAGGATCTAGGCAAATAAAAACTACAAATGTAGGGACTGGAGATGTAGCTCAGTTAGTAGAGTGCTTGCCTGCATGCAAGCACAAGGCCTTGTCAATTCCCAGCAAAACACACACACACACAAACACACACACACACGCGCGCGCATTTGAACAAATAAACAAAAGTCAAGAATTACTTCACTATACCTGCTAACCAAGCAGATTAATAAATTCAAGGCAGGAACTCTTTCGTCATCTTTACTGTCCTAAAATAAAGAAAGCAAATATTAAAATATAGTCTATTTCTTTAATATTTTTGAAATTTCTGTTTAAGGTGCAAAGCATGAAAATAACTTTTTTTTTCTTTCTTTTGGGTACTGGGGATTGAACTCAGACACTAAACCACTGAGCCACTTCCCCAGCCCTATTTTGTATAAATTTTAATTTAGAGATAGGGTCTCACTGAGTTGCTTAGCRCCTTGCTGTTACTGAGGCTGGCTTTGAACTTAGAATCCTTTTACCTCAGCCTCCCAAGCCACTGGGATTACAGGCGTGCACATCCATGCCTGGCCCTAATTTTCACTTGAGAAATACTTAAAGTCATATTTTAAAATAAGATTGCTTGTTCAGAGGATTAATACTGTCCTGTAGGAGTTCCAGTTCTCATGGAACTAGATTAATCCTGTGACAGGGTGCTATTATAAAGTGAGTTTGGCACTTCCCCTCTTAAACTTGTGCCACTTGCTACTCTCACACATACTCCTATGTGATGACATCTGCCATGGTGTGATGTAGCCAAATGCCAACACTTAATCTTAGACTTTCAGCCTCTAAATAATTCTCATTTCTTTGTTAAAGTACTCAACCTCAGGTATTTTGTTACAGCAATACAAAATGGACTAAGACAAAGATGAAAGCCACAAGTGGCAAAACTCAAAGGCCTGAGTTATTGTCATCTTGGATATTATTCATCTACCTTCAGGCTTCCTTTTTCTGGGAAAAACATCTTTATTTTATTTAAGCTATTATTATTTGGAACTTTTTTGTTCTATGGGCTAATCTAATTCCAACTAATAAAATATTCCACATTTTTCCTATTTATTGGAAACCTCCTTTATTGCCATATAAATTGATACTTTCAATACGAAATAACAAGTTATGACTTACCACCAAGAGTCTCACTTCAGAGCACCTTCTTGCAAGCTGCCGAATCAGTGAATGAGCCTCAGGTAATAAAGGTTTTTCAAGGCAAGCCAACAAGGCATAAAGCCATCTTCCCTAAAGAGAATTTTAAAAAGTACTAAATTGTTACAATTTTTTTTTTTTTTGTAGCACGGATTTAACCCAGGGGTGCTTAACCCCTGAGCCATATCCCTAGTCCCTTTTATTTTTTATTTTGAGACAGGGTCTGGCTAAGTTACTGAGGCTGGCTTTGAACTTGCAATCCTCCTCAGCCTCCTGAGCTAYGGGATTATAGGAGTGTGCCACCATGCCTGGTAAACCAGACAAATATTTAACCATAAATATAATTTATTTTTCTAAGTGTCCAATATTGTGCCTGGCTATTTGCTATAAATAATTCATAGAACATTTAACAGTATTATGTTTGGATATAGACAAAGGATCATCTGGAGAACTAGGTGATGACTCTTATAGACACATGACACTGGTCACTTTAAAATATTCCCTGATGCTCAAAGTCTTCATTTCATTAATTCTTACCACAGAAGAAAACTAAAATACTATGTATATAAATCCTTGAAAAAATTAAGATCCACTTTTCTTTGTCCACTATAGACATATATACAAATCATTATATGCTTTCCCCTAGATCCATATGAAAGAACAATTCTGAAGACAAAATAGTGTTTTGGTACTTCTACAAACATAAGCTGAATTTAGTCCCAATCCTTTCTAAAATAGGCTTTTTTTTCCAAATTACAAAATTATAATCAATTATTAGAAACAAACAAACAAACAAAAAACCAAAAACAGCATTCTTGTTATCTGGGTAAACTTTCTACTGATTTTTAAAACATCTTTTATCCTATGTATATGTATAACTTTTTTCAATAAAGTTCCATCATTATCATTTTGTAATTGTCTTTATTTATAACACATAATAAACATACCCAATGTTGTTTAACAGTATTAATGAAAGAACATCATTGGATAGTCTCAACATGGCATGTAGAAATTCCATTTAATAACATGGAAATGTTTACTATTATACATTACAAATAAAATGATGGTGTTGAAGGGTATGTAGTTCATTAAACTTTCTGAGATACAATCATCATAAGAATGGTATAACCAAGAATGGTTATATCAATTATATTTATTACAAATATAGTTTAACCAGTAAAATTATGTATACTACTAGCACTATACACAACTTAATTCTGAACAATTTCACTTTGGGGAACCCTGAAAAATATTAGGGTTTATTTTTCTTTTAGAATAAAGTTTAAATGGTGATTTATGAACACACTAAGTTCTTCAAGTAGCCCTAAATCAACAATAAGACTTTTTCTTTAAATGAAAATATTCACATCCTGGTTTGCTTAATGAGTTGTGGAATTCTCTTCTAGGTTAAAAAAAATTAAAACTTGACTAATTTTCAGCRAAACATTTATTATATAAAGCTAGTATTTAGTATTCAAATATCTTCTACACTGAGAAGTTGCTCCAAACCTCTACTGATTGCCTGTAACATATTTATACTGAGAGGTTCCTTAACATCACTGTGATTATGCTAGAAAACAAAATCAAAACCCCCAAATGAAAACAAAACGCCAAACCAAAAAGCTGAAAACTTCTAATAGGTTCACACTTGGATGATAAAATAAGGCTATATTTCTCAAAAACATTAGACAGTAATTTTAAGAAGAGAAAAAGTAGAAGATCCCCTTTTTCCTTCTACTGGTTATGATACACAAATTTCTGGTGATATATTTTTAATTTAAACACTGATATCCTCAGGATTATTTGGACAGTACAGTTACTTGGATAAAGGAATTAGATACTTTGATTTCTAAGATACAATACTCAAAATTACATTTAAAGGGTTAATGTTAAAATTCAGAGTCAGCTGTCAGTGGTTTGAAAACACCTTAATGATTCCTCTGATGATATTATAAAGACTTTTTGGTACTATGCTTTCATTAAGTAATAGGAAAGGCCAAATTTACCATCTTTTTGAGTGGATAATATTTATTTATTTACTTAGCACTACTAAAGACTAAACCCAGGACCTAAAACACACAAGGCAAGCACTCTACCACTACATCGTCAATCCTTTTTACTTTGAGACAAGGTCTTGCCAAGTTGCTGGCCTTGATTTTGCAATCCTCCTGCCTCAGCTTTCCAGGTAGCTGGGATGATAGGCATGTGCCACCATGCCTGGCTTGAATGGAAAATCTTCTTTKTTTTTTAGTTGTCAATGGACCTTTATTTTATTTAATTTTATGTGGAACTGAGAATTGAACCTAGTGCCTCACACATGCTAGGCAAGCGCTCTACAACTGAGCCACAACCCCAGCCCCTTGAATGGATAATCTTTAGAAGTTAAAAAGAACACAAAATATCTTAGAGCAAAGAATTAAAAAAAAAAAAGATTAAAAGAAGGTGTACAAATCAAATAATGTTTTAAGAGGTTACTATTAAACATAAAGAAATGATATAAATTTTTAAATTCAGTATCTAGATAAACAAGTGGCCTAAGAACACAAAGTTATCTTCTGAAGGTATAGCTAATATACCAACCCATGGGATAAATACATTTTTACTGATATCAAAAGAAATGAAAACAACATTTAATTTAAAGTAAATCTGCCTAGTTTGAAACATAAACACAACCTATAAAAAAGTTGGGTCAAACTATTCAGAGTTGCTGATGATCAAATGTTTTTAAGTTACAAAAAAGGGAATTCATATAGTTCAACTTGAATGGAATTGCAGAGAATAATAATAAATTTGAGTATACACTGCTGATGATATTATAAACCAGTTCAGGACTAGGGATATAGCTCAGTTAGTAGAGTGCTTGCCTTGCATGCACAGGGCCCTGGGTTTAATCCTCAACAACACACACACACACACACACAAAAGATGAAGCATATATAAACCAGTTCATTTCTTTTTTTTTTTTTTTAAAGAGAGAGTGAGAGAGAGAAGGAGAGAGAGAGATAGAATTTTTAATATTTATTTTTAGTTTTCGGCGGACACAACATCTTTGTTTGTATGTGGTGCTGAGGATCGAACCCGGGCCGCACGCATGCCAGGCAAGTGCGCTACCGCTTGAGCCATATCCCCAGCCCCCAGTTCATTTCTTAAGGAGAACAATCTCGCAAAATGTAACAAAGGCTTATAGAAATTTGGTCCAATAATTCTAAATTAGAAATATCCTGAGAAATTAATGTGAATTTTTATAATTTAATCATGACTGCAAAACATAAGAAAGAATGCAAGTGGTCAATAATTTAATTCCCAGTACTGGTGGGGGGAGGGGGGCGGAATGGGCCAAGTACATGGTATAATAAGAATTTAAGGGCTGGGGATATAGCTCAGTGGGTACAGTGCTTGCTTCACATGCACAAGGCCATGGGTTCAATCCTTAGWACCAMAAAAAAAAAAAAAAAAAAAAAAGAATGAAAAAAAAATGTGAAAAAACAAACAAACAAACAAACACACGTTGGTCACCAGGGCTGGGGGTACAACTTGGTGTTAGAGAGCTTGCCTAGCATGTGTGAGGCTCTGGGTTCAATACCCAGCACAACAACAATATATATATATATATTTCATTGTATTTATGGAAGTGACTTATCTAAGCCACTTTGCTGAGGTAGTCTGGGAAGCTTAATATCTGTTACACAATGTTGCTTATTTGTCTTTCCCAGGAGACTATAAGTTTCTAGAGGGCAAAGATTATATTTTATGCTTTGATAAAGAGCTCTGAACCTGGATATACTCTAGTGAATATCCTAAAATGTGAAAAATCAAAGGACGGCATCCTTTTTTTTTTTTTTTTTTGGTTTCAGAATTGAACTCAGGGGTATTTAATCACTGAGCCACCTCCCCAGCCCCTTTTTTATATTTTTATTTAGAGACAGGGTCTCACTGAGTTGCTTAGGCCCTTGCTAAGTTGATGAGGCTGATTTTGAACTTACAATCCTCCTACCTCAGCCTCCCAAGGCTCCGGGATTACTGGTGTGTGCCACTCTGCCCAGTTGAATGATAACATTTCTTAAAATCATAAATTAGGAGGAGTAATTATGTAACTTATTTATTTAATATCCACCAAATTTACCCAAATTTAAAGTGAGAAATGAGCTGTGAATACAAAGCAATTAAATAAAGGGATAGTGCAGCAGAATTGTTAGGAATAAAGATTCTACAGTCAGATTGCCTGGGCTTAAATCTAAGTTCCGCCATTTATAAGCTGTGTGATCCCAAGCAATCTACCAAACCCTTTGTGTTTTAAATTCCTTATCTGTAATGCCATTTTTTATATGATTTTGTGGTCTGAATTTCTAGGCCATCTTATAAAATGCATTTCAAACTTGTTCAAGCTAGTGCTACTCCAAATATAGCCTGCAAATTGATTATCAGTCTGTAACCTAATTGTTAGTGATCTTCATGAGATAAACAGCTTGCACAAGGATATAAATCAATTCTTTAGTTGATATTTTTTCCCTAAAGCAAAGCTTTCTCAACAAAGGAAATAGCATATTGATTTGTAATCTAGTATAAGCTCTGAATTTTATTACAAACAAGCACATTTTTGTATGTATGTGTGTGTGTGTGTGTATATACACACACACACACATTTAAATATAAATACTATAGAGTGACATCTTATTATAAATATATATAACCTGCCTGCATTATGAAATAAAAAAGATGCAATACTACCAATTCTGGAGTAAAGTCTCTTTCTCCAAACCAATTACTCAGATATTCCAAGACACTAGTTACTGTTGCCTAAAAAAAAGAAGATAGAATAGGAAAGAGTTGTATTAGTAATAAAGTATTTACAAATTTAACAGGAATTCCACAARGCTTAGTTAGAAAACTGACTAGTAATTTGCTTAGATGTCTCACCTAGTAAGGAAAGATTTTTAAGACAAATATATTTATTCTGCTTGGGTTTTTTGTTTTTTGATTTTCTTTTTTTGTAGTGCTGAGGACTGAATCAAGGACCTYTCCCATGCTAGGCAAGCATCCTACCACTCAGCTACAATCCCAGCCCAACACAAATATTCTTACATTCTCAAGTATCAACTAAGGCTTTAGTTTTAATCTTAGGATTTAGTTTGTAATTACTAATTTTAGTTTGTAACTACTTGAAAAAATTCATCTGCTCTTAAAAGGTCAAATCTAGGGCTGGAGTTGTGGCTCCATGGTAAAGCACTTGCCCAGCATGTGTGAGGCACTGGGTTCGATTCTCAACACCCATATAAATAAATGAATAAAATAAAGGTCCATGAACATCTAAAAAAATATTTTTTAAAAAAAGGTCAAATCTAAAAATTAGCTAGAGACAGATCTCTTTTAGAACTATACAGATTAAATCACTATTGAAAATATTATCTGCAAACAAGTTCACATTATACATTTGGTATGCATATATGTGGGTACTTATAAAAAAAAATCATGCTGATGAAACTTACTATGACCATTAAGGTATCTAAATGCAAATGATCAACTTAGTGAAACTACCATCTAGAATGATTTCCAGTTGAATATGACACTCAAAAAAAAATTTTTTTTTATCTTCCAAGGGTATTTAGTGCTATGTAAAAGCAAAACAAAGTATTTATCTTTTAAATGGATAACAGAGTCCCTACTCCTGAAAGACTGAAGAACCAAATTCTATACTTCTCCCCTTTTGATCCTAATCTTTACCTTTTGATCCCAATCTTACATAATATGTCGGATACCTAGACCTAGAAATGTTAAACTAACCTTAATAATTCATTCAAACTTCAGTGTCTGAAATGTACATAAATGAATACCCTGGCACCATAATAAAAAGCATGAGCCCTAGAGTTAGATTTATCTGGCATAGAATACCAGTGCTTTTACTTGCTGAAAAACCACCAGCCAGTAATTCTTTTTTTTTTTTGCACTGAGGAATGAACCCAGGGGTGCTTTACCACTAAACTATATCTATCCTCAGCCCTTTTTATGGTTAATTTCAAGACAAGGTATTGCTAGGTTGCCAAGGCTAGTCTTGAACTTACAATTMTCCTGCCTCAGCCTCCTGAGTTGCGGGGATTACAGGCATGTACCACCACACCTGACTACGTGCAAGTTACTTACCCTTAAATTTTGTTTCCTCACTTATAAAAAAATGATTATTAATAATAACTCCCCACAGGTCCCCACAGACTGGACATGGTGGTGCATGTCTGTAATTCTAGCACCTCAGGAAATTGAGGCAGAAGAATTGAAAGTTCAAAGCCAGCCTCAGCAAAAGTGAGGCACTACACAACTCAGAGAGACCTTGTCTCTAAATAAAATACAAAATAGGGCAGGGGATATAGCTCAGTGGTCAAGTGCCTCCAAGTTCAATCCCTGGTATCCTCCAAAAGAAGAAAGAAAGAAAAATAATAACTCCCCACAAAGGGATATAATAAGGATTAAAAAGAACCACTGAAGAGCATACAAGAAGGTGTTGCATGTTGTAAATATTAAATAAATGTATTCGAATACTTCTATACACACTGCAAACAAAATAATGCATATAATATCATTATTAGATGGATTTTTACCTGATTCATTCTGCTAACAATACTAAGCAATGGAGGAAAACCAATCTGAAAGAAAAAAATGAGACTGAAATCTATTAATGCATATAAGAAAGATCTTCATTTTTTCCCCAAACAAGTTAATTTCTTGCTACACAGTTATTTAGTAATACAGATAAAAGAAAAAAAATGTTTCACTGCCCATTATGAGACATTCTAGAAACTATTGTTTGTAAGGCCCAACAAAATAATATCTCAAAATGTGAATATATAAATTTAAAAATAATTTTAGTAACAAAAATGTCATAAGCATGAAATTTTAAAAAAGGTACTTGAAAAAGTTAAATATAGTCAATAAAATTATAACACATTGTTATATTAATATATCATAGACACTATTTAAAAATCTTCAGTGAAAGTTAAAGTTTTCAGCAATTAAGGGCATTTGAATTAGAATGGTATTTTTTAAACCTAATCTGACTCAATTTTTAAAGTATACTGCTAGGCACAGTGGGATTACAGAATCCCACCTATTTGGGATGCTAAAACAGAAGGATTACAAATCTGAGGCTAGCCTGCTAACTTAGTGAGACTCTGTCTTAAAAACTGAAAAAAGCTGGTGATGTGTAACTCAGTGGTAGAGCATCCCTAAGTTCAAGCTCTCAAACATCAAAAAAAAAAAAAAAAAAAAAAAAAAAAAAAAAAAAAAAAAAAAAAAAAAAAAAAAAAAAAAAGAAAGAAAGAAAGAAAAGAAAGAAAGAAACCAACCAGCCAACCACTATGGACTTAAACAAAACTTCAGAACTAATGCATTAAACTTTATGTCCTTAAATGATCTTTCTAACATGGTATGTTTTTACTTGTCTATATTCTATTAACAAGGTAAATAAATACATTTCTTTACAAAATTAAAACTTTTAAATGTAGTATACATTAAGTATATTATCTAAAAGAATAATAGGTTGTCTAAGAAAGAGTGTCAAATTAGCTTCCCTAAAGATTTTAGTCTATTTATACTCCCACACTAGTTAGAAGAGTGCCTGTTTTCCCAGGCTTTGTCAAAACAATATATCAAACTTTCTTTGCCAATATGTTGACCTGAAAAATTGTAGATCAGCAGAGGTATAAAGTTATAGTTCTATTATAAGTGAAGTTGGGAATATTCTCATRTAAGAACAATTTGTATTTCCTTTCTGTAAGATGTCTATATCTTTTGACGGTTATTTGTTTTATTTTGTTTTGGGGTGGAGGCTAATTCTTGGCTTTTTAATGATTTTTGGAGTTCTTTATATTTTGAAAATACATTTATTTTGTTTTGTTTGCAGTACTGGGACTTGAACCCAGTAATGTTCTACCACTGAACTACGTCCACCCCCACTTTTTCTTTATATTTATTTAATTTTTTAATTTTAGGTAGACACAGTATCTTTGTTTTATTTTTATGTAGTGTTGAGGATCGAACCCAATGCCTCATGCATGCTAGGCGAGCACTCTACTGCTGAGCCACAAACCTCAGCGCCCCCATCCCCTTTTATTTATTTTTCAGACGTGGTCTTGCTAAGTTGCCCAGGCTGACCTCAAACTTGCGATCCTACTGCCTCAAGCTGGGATTCTGGTATGAGTCACTGTGCCTGGCCTGGAAAAAAATAAGTTTTAAACAGGAAAAAAACAATATGGTACCATATCTGTTGAATAGAACAATATAACATAGGAARTAGTAATGAAGATGTATGCAATGTGTTCTATAGGAACATCTGCAAACCCAGAGGCAGATAAATTCTGAAAGACAAGGAGCTGGCCACATAATTATGATTAAAGTCATGTAAAATTTAAGTATACCCCCAACATTTCATCTCTTAAATATGCGATTTACTGGAGGATCTTTCTAACAGTGTCATGTTTTCTTTTGCTTCCGTGACTACTTACAATGCTTTATGTGACCTATACCTAGTCATTTAAAAAACCCAAATCCTATCCAACTCAAAATTATTACATAGTTAAAACGTAAGAGATAAGAAGTCAATCTAGATTAAGCCAGAGTAAATTATTTTTGAAACTTCGTAAGTTACAGAATCTATAAGCTAAGTCAGTGGTTGGCAAATATTTTCTATAAATAGTCAGATGGTGAATATTTTTAGGCTTTGCAGGTCACATATAATTTCACTACATGTAAACATTTTATTTGTTTCTTTTTTTACAATCCTTTTGAAATATAAAACCACTCTAAGTTTATGAGGTGTATAAAAACAGGTTATAGTCTATATTTGGCCCATGTTGTAGTTCACTGACCCCTTTAAACTAAGTGATAAACCAAAATTAAAATACTTTTTGTTTTGTTTATCCACATATTACCTACTTGTACATAATCAATTCCAGGACTTTCATTTGTAGCTGGTCCAATAGCCCCTTCAGCACATAACCTTTCACCCAGACAAAATTTTTTCCAGCCTTCTTCATCTTCAGATTTTGGCTGAAAGATGAAAAAGAAATTAACTTTTTTCCAGGTATTTATTTTTATACTGAACACTAAAAATAGAAATAAGGATCTCCCATATCCCTACACCTCAATACAAAGATACAGTACCAGTTAAGGGGAGAATTGTGTCCCCAAATTAATATGTTGAAGCCCTAACCTTCATCTAGTACCTTAAGCTGTGACTGTATTTGCAGATAGAGCCTTTAAGGAAATGATTAAACTTAAATGAAGGCTCTATGGTGAGCTCTAATCCAATCTGACTAGGAAATCTGAATACTCCAGGAGTTTATTTTTTCCCTCCTCTGAAGATAAATAGCCTTTATTAGATTCTCAGAAGCAATATGTGATTCCCCAAAGATTAAAAATGACTGCTTGAGGGCTGGGGTTATGGCTCAGTGGTAGAGCGCTTGCCTAGCATGTATGAGGCATATGACTGCTTGAGGGCTGGGAATATGGCTCAGTTGATAGAGTGCTTGCATAAGGCCCTGGGTTCAATCCCCAGTACCACCAAAAAAAAAAAAAAAAAAAGACTGCTTGGAACACCATATCCATTTCTTTCTTCCCCATCTCCTATTTTTACTTGGAAGAGTTCACCTAGCTTCTGAAGAGCTTAAAATTATATATAAACTGAAAAAATGCAGAAAATATAATTTTCCAATATGTATGACAGGTTTCACTATTATGTCGTCATTACAGTAAAGCTGAGATGATACCCTGTAACCATGTGAGTTTACTACATGGCACCATTATCCTTCTAGGAAAACCCAATAACCCTTATTCAGTCTTTTATAATACTGAAAATATATTGATTTCCTAAAAAGCAACTATTCAGCTAAGCACAGTGGAACATGCCTATAATCCCAGCTACTAGAGAGACTGAGGTAGGAGGACAGCAAGTTTAAGCCAGTTTGAGATAGTGAGACCCTATCTCAAACAAAAACAAAAACAAAAAAAGAAACAACAAAAGGTACTGTTCAGAAGAATTCTTAAAAACTAGAGAGATCAAATAATGCCTATTTGTCAATCTAAATGAAAAATTAGAACCAGAGATAATAGTTAACCACAGGCATATTAAAAGAGGTTGATGCAAGGGGAAGTTTTAAGACAAGAATGAAGGTTATGTCAGAGGTTTCAAAATAATAATATTTGAGCATAGTGATTAAAAACAAAACTGGAGTCATTCTGAAGTTGAACAGACAATTGCCTAGCAGATATCCTTGTAGAAGTTCTTTTGATAAGGTTGCAGTGTTCTTAGTGCAAGGTTGTAGGTTGGCAGAATCCTTTATGATGGACTATTTGGCAACCATGCATAAGAATCGTTCATTACTTCCTGGCTTTCTTTACCTTTAATTGTTGCAGTTGACAAAAGTAGCTCCATTTTGATTATGACAACTTTTACATTTCTTTCACATATCCAAGTCTGCCCAAGATATGGTGGATTAAAACAGTAATGAAAATACCAACTTGCACTACGGGTTATTTTTCAGGCTACTAATATAATGGCATTGTTACTATTAAATAATGGTATGTGAAAGAGAATTAAAATAATATAGACTAAGCAAATGAATCCTTGAAGACTGGAAATAAATATGGATATTTCATACAGGTATACATTGTAAAACTTAAACTGATAAGCTTACATACCATAGTCACATTACTGTCCAACTGTTGTGATTTCCAGTGACTTCTATGTTTGTTCACACTCTAAAGGAAGAAAGGTTGGACAGTGATTCACAAGATGAGTAACTGAAATCACTTTTCACACAAAATTCTAACCACTCTAAAACTTGGAAAATAAGTTACAAACTGTAACATACCAATGATAATAATTAAAAAATTGATTCATAAATATTCTATATGCTTTAAAATCACATATCTTAGCTTTCCAATTATAGTCTAAGAAAAGCAATAAAATCTGAAGAGGGTTTAATTGATTAAATTTGATACTTACCTGTCGAACAGTTGAAAACTGTGCTACTTGTTGCTGTTGCCACTTAAGTGTTGGGGAATAACCTTCAGGGGCAGGTTGGCATCCTGAAAGCTAGAGATCATTTCCTAAATGTTAGCATCAACCTCTCATACTTCTACAAAGTAAAAGCAAGATGAAAAATATATAAAACAAGTGAATAACTAAGTCTACCTAAGAAAAAAGGAATGGGGATATAGCTCAATAGTCGAGTACTTCCTTAGCATACACAATGCCCTGGGTTCAATTCCCGGCAACACCTCTGCACCAAAGAAAACAAAGCCCCCCAAAAGCAAAACAAAACTAGATCAGGTTTGGTGGCACACATCTGTAATCTCAGCTCCTCAGGAAGCTGAAGCAGGAAGATCTCAAATTCTGAAGTCAACCTGGGCAATTTAGCAAGACCCTATCTCTTTTTTTTTTTTTTTTT